CTCTCTCCCTATTTATTTCAAAACCCCCTTCCCCTCCCCCTTTTCTGATGAAGGGTCTAGGCCCGAAACGTCAGCCTCTCTGCTCCTATGATGCTGCTTGGCCTGCTGTGTTCATCCAGCCCTGCACCTTGTTGTCTCGGATTCTCCAGCATCTGCAGTTCCTACTATCTCTGAACCAATTTCCCCTTGTTTGCTCTGTCCGTCTCAAATGTCAGGGCCATGCAGGGCAGCTCCAGACTGACAGTGCTTATCTGATACATAACAGGCTTTTAAAGATGGAGTGGGTGTGAGGGCTGCTGGTATCTTGCTGATTATCCACTAAACTTTTTTCTGGGAACAGCATTGTGGTAGAACGGGGCTAGAATCAGGTGTGAGAGATACTATAGGGTTAGAGTAAGTAGTTATTGACATGCATTTTGTAAGATACAGTGACAAATCTCGCTGCACCTTGTGGTGGGAATTCCTCAAAAGAACTCAATGCAACTCATATTTAGCCAAAAAAAGTCAGGTTCAGCCTTCAGTCTCCACCTTGCTGAGGGCACTAGCAGCATGATATTGTGAGGGAAGTATCTGACAGTTTGTAATCGAATCACTCAGATCCACAGCAGATCATGAGGGCACAATGAATCAAAGATGGCAATGGTGGCTGTTTTATAAAGAAATCTCTCCTGGATCTCAGATAGCACATCACTGTGGCTTTCTAAAATAAATTCACTGAAATGGACCTGCTTCAAGCTGGTCTGCTCAATACACTCCAGTTACAGACAGCAGGGGATACCAAAATCCAATTTACAGAAACTCCACGGTCAAAAAGCCCAGAATGTCCATAAACCCACCTCCACAAAAATGAGAAATCATGTGCATGAGGATGTGATATCTGATTCCTATGGATTTTGAAAATCTGGACCTATTGTTGCTGGAGCATTACTACTTATCAATAAGATATATTTTACAAAATCATAAACAAAATAACATATTTCTCTACTTAACACTGCTGCTCACTTTGTTTAACCTCTTCTTCTCCAACCCCTGTCAGATCTTAGTTCCAATTTTTTTGTTTTATTACTCATTTGGTTCATATTTACAGCCTTGATTTTTCCTAAACCAAGTATCTTTTTTGAGTAAAAATCACTTTATCCAAATTCTTTGATTCAAGATTCTTCTAACAGCCAACTGTTAATTGCATTGTTTTTAATTTCCGTTTGTGTTGACTGAAATGAGTCAACACAGCAAAGTCTGGAATTAAAATTGAACACTTTAAGTACTCTCCTAAAAAATAAGCACCAGAGGCAACAAAAATGTTTGAAGTGAATTCATAAAATTATCATCAGTATTCTTGTTTGTTATTCTGATCTTGTAAAATGCATGAAAAAATTGCATGGAATTTCCTGAAAATTTGCAATATAGTAATAGGGCATTAATGACATGTGGATTTAGTCAAACAGGAAGGATCAAGGACATTACAGTGTAAATGAATTAGATCAATTAATATTTCACACCAAATTTTCTGTGTAGTTTACATTTTTTTTGCCAAAATCTATGCCGTAGCAAGTAAACATTTATTGTAATAGCTTATCCCCATATAAAATAGCAGCAGTGATAAATTCCATTGATTCCTTCCAGTTTTGTTTGCTTGACCCATGGTGTTTAAGACTCTGATATATGTTGTTAATCTTTGCTTCCTATTGCTTATATGCAAGCTTAAGCAAATAATTTAATTCCCTATAGGCGAATAAATATGCTTCTGTTTTTGGGAAAATGTCCTTGGGAACAATACTGTTTGATAACAAATGATTTACAAATAAAAATAAATACTTGTATATATTTAGCAATGCAGAAGGTTTGAGCATTGTGTAAAAATTATTCGACTAAAATATAAGCAACGATCTTTTTAGGCATATACAAATCAATATTGATGATTCATAGATACCCTGGAATGAATAAACAGAGTTGTGCTAGACACCAGCTGAATCAGGCTAGCAGAGGTGCAAATGGGTCTAGGTATTGAACAGTTTCCAGGTCCAAATTCAGCACCATAAGGTGGAATCTTGCAGCACACTTTGTTTCTCACTGGAATTGTATCCAATGGTGCTTTGTTTCAGAAACTTTGTGAGTGTCTTTGAAGACTATAGGAAATCAATGCAAGCATTATTTTGAATCTGTTAGTAAGGATCCTCTAGCTGAATCAGGACCCTTTTGTTGAATCAATGTCTATGAATACTACAAACACTTCCTCGAGCTGCCCAGAAAATCATATGGGAATAATTGGTGAACAGTTTTCACAAGCAGTATTTGAAGAGATTGTCACTACCGTTGAGATCAGACTAGGCATTTTAGCCATGTTTATTATTATTTTAGTAAGTTATTTTATGTTTGACATGTTGACAGAAGGTGGTCGCCTGTGTAATTTTGCAGCAAAAATTGAAGACCAACACCGGGCATGCATGTGGCATTAAAGATCAGTGACTCAAAATGTTTACGTCTCTGGGTTTTTCTAAATATATCTGGTGATGTCAGCAACATCAATTAGTTTGTTGTGAAAGGCGTCAACAATTCATTGCAGTAATTATGGGGGCTGATAAGCAGAACAAGAGAACTCTGAGACTTTTCCTATTTACGTCTGCATTTACAATAGTTTCCAATGTCCAATCAATATTCGACTTGAGTGCCCACAGCCAGCCAGCAGAGTGATGCCAAGAGTGTGGGTTCAATTCCCACACCAACTGAGGTTACCATGAGGGCTCGCTTTCTCAACATGTTCCTTTGCTGAGGCATGACTACCCTCAGGCTAAACCACAACCAGTCATCTCTCTGATGAAAGAGCGGCCCAATGGTCCTCAGGGTCTATGGTAACTTTGTTACTGCATATTTATGCCTGATTTATGGCAGTTAGCAAGATAGTTTCAAACTGTGGCAGTCCTCAATATTCCCCCTTACTGCAACTGGGCCATCTGACTGGCTTCTGGGGATAAAGGGGTATTCCTTCACTGACTAGTACATAGCCTTTCAGGAATCCAGGCATGGATGTAGAGCATCAATATAATGAGAGTCTTTCAACATCAAGAGTTCTGATTGTGGAACAGGTGAAAAAAAGGGTTACCTCATTGTCAATCTCCAGCACTTTCACACCCTGAATAGCCCTGAACCCAGCTCCAGTGGCCTGGGAACATTCACTCTGGTTTCTCCAAGTGTAAGGTGGA